TAATGTATTTAAATGTTTTTTTTTTGTAAGGAAGGAGTTCAAACAATCATTTTACGAGAAAAATCAATATATCGATTAGAATACCAATCAATAAGTTAAGTGACGAGTAAGGGTAAAAACATGGCACGTCATTACTTGCGTGTGTGAATATAATTCTCCAAATTACTGACCGAGTTGTTTGATCAATATATGGATCCAGAAAGCAATCAATAATTATATCGCGCGCACGTCATGGAAAAAACGTGAGATTATTTGATGCGCAGTTCTTATGTCATCGTGGTAAGCAAACATATAGAAAATGATTCAGCTAGAAAAGCAAACGAACGCATTTTAAGTTATAGCAAATGTTGCGGATTCTAGAAAATCAATATATATGGAATGCACATGATCACTGGCAGTTTGCAATGAATGGAATTGCAAGAGAGGTGGGAGCTGGAGGAGAGGGAGAGAAGAGGGGGGGGGTTGGAAGGTCTCACCTTGAACTAAACTAAGGAGGGCAGATGTTTTGACACCTGGTCGGAAGTAAAGTCCAGCGATTCGGAGGTCAAGTGAGGTGGAAGGATTACGGTAGCTGGGCTTACGGTACCTGTCAAACTTTCAGCCAATCAATAAAAACTGTAGCATTTGGCTGGTCAGAATGACAAGGCTGGAGAATCCTTGTCAAGGCTCTGAAGATTTTATGTCAGTTCCTCATCCCCCCTCCTTCCCCCATACAGAGGGGCAAGCGTTAAACAAATAAACAAGCGCAAAGAAGTTTTCGTTACCCTGCAAAGCCGAGATGGCCGGAAATGGAAAATCGCCAATTCTGCAAGGGAAAAAAGTGCGTTTTCTTGCACATACGCAATTACACCAAGGCCATAAATTGCGTGAAGGGAACTTTTTCATTAAATTGAAAGCACGAGCACGCGTGCCGTGCAAATTTTAAGTGGCACGAAAGTCGAGGCCGATGAAACTCGGCAAAAAACACGGATAAGTTAAACAAACTGCAGACGGCCCGCCGCCCGCCCCCGTGTGCTGAACGGGTTTTTTCTTACAGAGAGTTTTCGTCCCGAATTAGACGCGGACGGTGGCGAATTCGAATCACAGCCACGGCCGGTGCGAACAACCACGAAATGTCAACAAACCCGCGGCTGCTGGACAAGCCCAGCGATTCTGCGCGCTCGAGCGCGCCGCTGAACCGTGTCCAACGGCGAAAAAACATCCGAAACACACGCACGAACAACCACAAAAGGACATTTCAAAATAGGTTGTGGTTTCCTAGCTAAATACGGCTTGCTAAATATGGAAACTGTGAAGAAATCGACAAACAGGCGAACTTGTACATGGTCAGCCACTGTTCATAGCAGAGAAACTGAAGTAAGCGCGGGTTCGGTTCGAAAGTCCTCACTCGAGAGGTGGTGATATTTCGACTTATTTACCCAAAGGCAAAACAAAAATAGTAACTAAAATTTCTTATGCTAAAATGATTTTGCATCTGGAACGGAAACCAAGATATTTGATTGCCTAATAATTACAACCAGGTTAAGAGACTGTGCAGCAAAAAACTCTCGAGGTGCGTAATTCAGTACTGATAACCAGAGGAGGTCCCAGGATTTCCATCCAGGGCAGAGGGGAGGGGGGGGGGCAAAGGATTTGTTCCAATGAAGGTGCGTGGTGTGAGCCACGTGCTCGAAAAAATTCTTGAAGTGCTTCTCACATTTGCGAGCCCATAACTAGTCAGGCCCCCGAAAAAAATCTTCTACAAAGCTGATTTGAATCTTTTAGAAATTTTAGAAAATATTAGGTTGTCAAGAAAATGATGTCGGTTTTTATTTGCTTGCTTTAACAAAGCAACCAGACTTAACCCAACAAAGTGTAAGGGGTACTGTTCGATAGAGAAAAGCAAGCTCTACAAGATGGCACTCATGTCTTTGCGCAATGCTCGATCCACGGAGAGTTCGAACTCAAAATCCAAAGATTTCCAAATGCCCAAAAAATCGAAAAAAATCAGATATTCGTTCAAATAATTTCTACGGACCTCCCACTCGCTCACATCAATACTATCGATATCTGATACTTATATGTGCGATTGCCGTATTTTTTCCTTGACTAGAAACTGAGAAAACGAAAATTTCCTTGATTTTCTCAAAGCAATGCTGAGCCGTTTTTGCATATGTAGTTCTATACTACGGGCCTAGGTAAGTATAACTGTAGATTTTCGGCCCATTCCAAGCGGTAGTTTTCGAAAAATAACGAATTCGGATTTTTTCGTTTCAGTTTCAGTGCTAAAATCGACATTTCTCGAAAAGTACCGCTCGAAATAGGCTGAAAACCTACAGTTGTGCTTACCTAGGCTTGTAGTATAGAACTACATATGCAAAAACGGCTCAGCATTGCTTTGAGAAAATCAAGGAAATTTTCGTTTTCTCAGTTTCTAGTCAAGGAAAAAATACGGCAATCGCACATATAAATATCAGATATCGATAGTATTGATGTGAGCGAGTGGGAGGTCCGTAGAAATTATTTGGACGAAGATCTGATTTTTTTCGATTTTTTGGGCATTTGGAAAACTTTAGATTTTGAGTTCGAACTCTCCGTGGATCGAGCATTGCGCAAAGACATGAGTGCCATCTTGTAGAGCTTGCTTTTCTCTATCGAACAGTACCCCTTACCCTTTGTTGGGTTAAGTCTGGTTGCTTTGTTAAAGCAAGCAAATAAAAACCGACATTATTTTCTTGACAACCTAATAATTCAGTTATTTACAACAATGAACAAGGCGCTTGCATTATAACCCCTGTAAGTAGATTCTGATAATTTCGCCACCATTTTTATGGGAGGAGGGGGGAGGGCATCTTGATCCGCCAACGCTGGTAACATATACGGCCTATACGCCTTCTTCCTCCCTCCCCCCCCCCCTCCCTTCTCACCTCTACGATCACCTAGTTCTTTTAAAACAAAGCAGTAATATGTCGAGACGTAAGTTCTGTTACAATTGAGATAAATGTTCATATTTTCTCTAAGGAAGTTTACTGCATTTTCGAATTACTTGGAGAACCGTAGCTACATAGCCTAAGATTACGTGAAGTAAAAATTTATATTTTTCTTGAAAGATTACTCCATTTTTGACCTAAGCGTAGGTTTTTGATATACGCATACAAACATGAAAAATCAGTTTTTTGGTTTTTATAAAATTTGCACCTATTCTTGTCAAATTTATACTTCCGTCTTTGAAACCACAAATGTCTTTCGATAGTGATATTCTGCGAAGAAATCCATAAAAATCCAAAAAGAAGAAAAAATGAAGGAGTTTTCGAAAGATAAAAGAACAAATGGAGATGTGCCGTTATGAAATTGCCTTTATATCCATTTAACTTTTATTCGTGGAGGTGAAGATGGAGCAGTAGAGAGCCCTTATTCTTTTTTTTTTGAGTATGCCAGATGTGATATTTTGTCGAAGTTTGTAGAAGCAAAGATAGCAGAAGCCCTATGTACACTTGCTCCAGATACTGCTTCTTCACATTTAGCTCCCTCCCTTCTTTTTTGCCAATTTTTTTTGCTCTCGCAGACCCTTCCTCTCTTATTCCTCGACATCTCCCACCTCGGAATATAATAAGAGTTCATACATACCTAAAATTTAATGATTAGCAGGACATAAAGGGCTAAGCCCACTCATTATACAAATTTCTAGGGTAGAAAATCGTAAATTTGGAAAATCGTAAGCTTTAGTCCATTAGTTTCTACTTTTGAGATAGTTTTTTCTTGATGAAAGAGAGAGTTAAGAAATTAGAAATTTAACTTGTGTGCCATTTTTCAAGCAAGCGAGATTGAATATGGAAATGCATTGCGCTACCACTAATGACAGAGTATACTACATCCTGTGAAAGATATACAAAAATGCAACAAAATGCAAATTTAAGGATCCATTGACTTTTACAAAAAATGAAGAAATTGAATGAGAAACTCTCAGCAAAGTTTGAGTTCAGGGCCAGTAATGAACAAAGATCAGTCACTCATGAACATAAGTCAGCAAAGAATGAATAGAAATGATGGGTAGAGGTCGATGATTTGAACAGCAGTGATTGCGCCAGCAGACACTAGGCTGGAGCGTATTGACCTGATTTGAAGACGGCGGTCTATTTGAAGGTCGAAAAGTTCATGCACCTGGCTCGATCATTAGATCAGAACCGATGTGATATCGATTGCTAAGCTGATTTCTCAGATTATCGGCGAGGGGGGATCGAGTGCTTAGGCACATTTGTGCAGATAGGGGATGATACAGCAGATTTTTTGTGCCGCATGATTTTCACAAAAATGCAAAAGCAATGAAATTTTGAGATTACCGAACATAAAGCCGGTACAATACAGTCAAAAGGCTCCATAAAAATCGATATATTGAATAATGTAACCATTCGAAGGACAACATTGTTACCACCATTTTTGCCGATACATACAAAGCCAGTCAACAGATAACTTCCAAAAAATCGATAAATCGATTGAAGGTCTCTGTACTTACCAGTGATTTTACATTTAAGACCAAGACCTAAATTCGTTGGTTTCTTTGATGGAGAACGACTAGAAGGCCTTAATTAGGCCATTACTCAAGCCGCAGCTCATGTGACTCATTCAAGACTAAGAAAATCATCTGTAAACTCCAGCCCAGACCGTACTTTCTACCGTATCGCGGACGCCGATTGGTCAGGAAAAGATTGCGTCCTGGGCGGGGATATGCTTGGCATCGCCCTAGATGCAGCACGAAACGAATGATCAAAATTTTTATATTAGGATAACGTGCTGATTTTTGATTTTTGCAAAAAAAGAAAATATTGCCTTTTTGTCAGACGATTTTGTCGTCAGCCAAATTTCCCTGAGAACAATTTAATATTAAAAGATGATCTTTCTAGCCAGGTAGAGTTTCAAGAGAGGAAAGTCATAATCGCTTGAGCTAGAATGACAAATAATCCAAGGATAAAAGAAGAGCAACAGACCCAGAGGAAAAATCAATATATCGATTGAATGCTCACCTGCTCTTCAGCGACTTCTTCAATAGGTGTAGTCACCTTTTCCTCGGTGACGTTTGCTGCCGTCTTTTCTTCTTCTAATTTCTTTTCGTTATATTCTAGCACCTCCACTTTCGCTGCACTCTCTCGTCTCGGCTCTTCTCTCGGCTCTCCATGATTCAGATGTTCTTTCTCGGTAACTTCATAGCGATCAGCTGCATTATGAAGTTCACCGTCTTGCTTCGGATGATAGCACGAGCACAAAAGCTTCGACAATGCGCCGTTTGCCGATGGCATCACACCGGTTGTGGCGATTCTGTAAAATTGCGAGGATTAGACAGGAAGGTCGCAAGAGAAATTCTGTTGAAGAAAATTAAGTGAGGATAGCGAATATGTTGAAAAACTCGAAATTTTCTTTGCTGAGAAAACAGTCAATTTTCAATAAGTGCAAGTTTACCGAAACCACTTGGTAATGCATCCATATTGCGCAAAACCAGAATGGCAAAAGGGCCAGATAATCTGTAGAATTGCGTAGATTCAACAAGATCAATGAGACAGTGAATGGAAAGGACGAACAAAGCAGAGGATGAGGAAAAAGAAAATGAGAGCTTTCAAAAGTGCTCTTCATGTTGGAATTGCACCAATTTCTTTGAAAACAATGTCTCGTGAGAAGAGAAATCGAAGGTTTTCGCTCAAATTTCTGGTGCAGGAACATTCTATGCGCACCTATAATATAATCAGAAATCTGCTTCGTGAGTAGAAGTTCATTATATAAAAAGAGTTGGTAGTCTTATAAACTAGCAAATTCGATCTTTACCGAACCAAAATTATATTCTTCGCGAATCTCAAACTTTTGAGGACATTTTTCGATAAAGACAAGCTTCAGATGACATTCAGACATTTACTCCGCTTAGATCCATATAGTGTTTGAAGCCAAAATTCAGAAGTTCCAACCAATCGAAAGTGAAAAAATCATATCCTCGTTGAATAATTTTTTTTGCAAATTTTTCACTCGCACGCATATACTTTTACATCTAGTATTCATACCTGCATTAGTTGTAATTTCTCCACGGCTTGAAATTGAAAAAGGGTATAAACTGAAAATCTTTACATTTGGCGATTCGTTTCACATATATGTGGTGATAGAACATTTGCCCAAAAGTAACTGAAAATTTGCATTCTTGTAGGAGTTCTAGTAGTTATATAGTAAATTTAGTGGGATCAAGAAACACCTAACATTCAGCTAATAAAATTTGCTCATTTATGGGTACCAACTTGATCTGGCAAATCGAAAAGAGATATACATCACTAAACGCGCCTACAAAAGGTAATTCCAAACCCGCTTTCATTTTTTGCGAAATGACTCTTCGAAAGAAATCGTGAGCTTTTGAATGTCCAACTTTGTCAAGTTTGAGTGGCATAAATTTAGCGAGAGGTTGTAAAAAATCCTAAGCGGATTTCCACTGGCCATGTTGCTTCCCTGTAATCAGTATCCACTTTCAGGTTATTTATACAGCTTTCCGCTAATTATGGCACTAAGAGTTTGACGAATAGGCATTCGTAAGCCAATAATTTCTTTCTGAGAGCTGTTTCGCAAAAAAGGTGATATGCCTTCTCGATTTGCCAGATCAAGCTGGTATCCTTTCCTATTAGAAGTTCAGTTTTTTTTATGTTTGCTACGCAGAGAATGTGAAAAGGTGCGCGCATACGGGCGGTGCGGATTCCGATGCTTAAGAGCGCAATAAAGATGAATAGAGCTGAACAAAAACCTCCAACACATTCCTCTGCAGCTCGTTTATTGCTTGTGTTGCTAATTTTGGGTCGATCATGATTTATATACGAACATAGTTTACGCTGAAAGTACAACTTGGCTATGAATAAACTGTTAATCGCAGCCAGAGGAAGCAAGAAAGAAGTGTTCGCCAAATTTTTTCTGGGAAAAAATGGCGAAGTTTGAAAAGCAAGTGAGAATACTGTAAATTTCTCACCCTACGCTTATTAAGCAAAACAACAGAACTTCTACGAAGCCTAAAGTCGAAAACTGACAAAGCTCATTGGCTAGAGACGTAGAGGATATGCAGGTTCATATAAAATGCAAAAGCTGCACAGTTGCTGTGAATGAGAGCGAAAAGTTAGTTAAGCATGAATAGGTTCGAAAACAAGAGACTGACAAAGCTGTACTGGAGAGAAACGTTGTTTTTGACAAGTAGAAGGAAATTAGAGGTCCGCAATCATACAATAGAAAAAGTTTTTTTGAGCAGAAAAGCGCGAAAGAGAGTTTATTTGCTACTACTAGCGGTCATTTATCTACATAGTTGTGAGGGGGAGGCGAAGGCCCTGGCCAGACTTCGCATAAAAGCGCTCAAAAGCGCGCAAAAGCGCCCAAAAGCGCCCAAAAGCGCCCAAAAGCGCCCAAAAGCGCCCAAAAGCGCCCAAATTTCTCTGGTGTCTCTTCACTTTCTCGTGTGAGGAGAGATGAGAAAGAGTGAGGAGAGGTTGAAGAAGTTTGGGCGCTTTTGGGCGCTTTTGGGCGCTTTTGAGCGCTTTTGAGCGCTTTTGGGCGCTTTTGAGCGAAGTCTAGCCAGGGCCGAACAGAAATTACTTTTTGAAAGGAGGGCGTGAAGCTAGGAAAGATTGTTGGGAGCTTTTCAAATCTATGCCCATTCAACAGCCGCACCACTTTTCCAAAGAACTTTTTTTACAAGTCTAAGATGAATTTTTGAAAGATTCTAATAAGTATTCTGACTATTCATAAGTAAAAGCAAGTCGTCTGCAAAATCTTTCATTTTACATAAGTGAATGAAAATTTCCCCCTTCCCCCTCCCCTCTCCCTCTCCTCGGTTTGCTACCGCCACCGCACTATTAGTTTGAAAAAAAGGAAAGAAGACCAAAAACTGATTGTTCGGACGCATTCCTACCGTATCCTAATAGGACTGCGTAAATTTAAGTACATATAGTGTAAAACGAAGCTATTACATAAAGAATCGTAACGCCAATCCAAGAAACACCAGATAGCGGAAAACCGCCTTGCGGTCCGGAGCGCGCGGATGCAATGCACCCTTGATTACGGTTTACTATTTTTCGTAGAACATAACAGCATAAGTGCAAAAAATGACAGATCAGAATCTTAGAGAATCTCCATTTAAATGGAAAGCATTCTGGTTTGCGAAAATGGCAAAATACAGCAACATCTGCAGAGCCTTCCCAAGCAAAAATCGTCTTGGCTCGCTGCCAAAACGCCCTAATCGCTCGAAAGCATGCACACATTAGCCAATGATGCCCTTAATCAAGCCAAACAAGGATTCCTCTTTCCCAGATGAAATTGAATGTACCACGCTTCGCTTCAAAATATACAGCAAAAGACAGAAACAAGCCTAGATGCAGGTTTGAGATAGGCAAAAGACAGGGAAAGTGCTATTCTGCAGGTTTTCTTAGTCGCACAAATCCTACAGAAATAGATTTTATGGGCGATAATGCTTATCTGAGAAAGAATCACTGCACTATTTCAAAAATACAGTATTCTTCGTAGGTGGGTTAATTTCAACATAAGCAAAGTACACTTCAAAGAACATGGATGGCGCTGCGTAAATGAAGAGAATATCGTTTTATTTTTGAAAAAAAGGAGGTTTTGATCTTCAAAATTTTGGAACTGAAACTCATTAACTTAGATTGGCAAACGAGTTTGCAAAAATATGAAAATTACGTCTTAAAAATATCTAATAAGTTTAGTCTATATCATTACTCCAGTATCATAAGATCTAAAGGCTACTGCATGACGAAGGCGCAGGAGCATTAGTTGAGCGGGCGCGAACGCAACGCGCGCATATCTTCACCGTTGTACATCCTGCGCCTAATGCGCTCTGCGGCTAATAAAGCCGCGTTCGCGCTCAAGGATGTTGCGCCTTCGTCATGCAGCAGCCTATATGTTTTATTTTACTGCACATATCAAAGGTATATTTGAGACAGAATCGAATATCAAGTAAAAAACTCAATAGAAGAACGAGGTGACAAAGAAGAACGCTCATCAGTGCATAATTTTCTCTTTTCAATATAAGCTTCTCTAAACCAAATGAATCTATTAGAAATAGAGTAGAAGAAGAAGAAGTTTTTTTTACTAAAATTCGTTTTTGAAGCGATATCAGGATTCAATATCATCCTCCATCTTAGAAAGTGTACCCAGGGTCCGGCACTAGGTGCCATATTAGAAATTGAAAAACGATGTTCCCTGTGACATCGCAGAAAATTACGAGATATCCTTTGCATGTTTGTAGAAGCTCTTATGATAATCTGCAACGAAAAAAAGAAGTCTATTGAAATGAGAAAAAAAATGAATCAAAGATCAAAAAGCGAGATGTGAAAAAAGTTGTTTTATATCATGAAGAGACGTAACAAAGCATAGTGGACGAAACTTGGGTTATGATGAGTACTCATATGTAGATTTTGATCCAAAGAATTAATTTATGTCAAGATTTAAAGTATATGTGAGGAACGGGGAGAATTGTAAATAATCATGCTTTTGTCTGGTCCCTCGCAACCTCAGGTTGCTCCCAGGTTGCGCGAGAGAACCTAAAATCGAAAAACGCTTGCAACTCCTTTCGTTCACATAACTTTTTTTTAAATGAATTTTCATACTTTTCTTTTGATCATCGTTGCCTATTTATATACACACCAAGTTTAGTGGCTCAATATGGTTTACTCATTAAACGAACCCATTTTTTATATTTTGTGGGTAAAGATTGTTTTGACACGTTGAAATCGTGTGCACACAGGTTTGTGCACTTGTCGTGTTTGTAGCGTGCTAATTTACATGTAACTAGTAAAATCACGTCATACCTTCAACTTTGGGCTCGCTAAGAGTTGGCAACTCCAACTCCAAATTTCCCTGAGAACAATTTATTATTAAAAGATGATCTTTCTAGCCAGGTAGAGTTTCAAGAGAGGAAAGTCATAATCGCTTGAGCTAGAATGACAAATACCCTATTTTCAGGTGGGGTGTAGGGCTTTTCGCACGATCATAATTCTTTCCGCGCAGGACCGCCGTCGCGCGCGACACACCCTGCGGCGGCTTTTGCCTAAGCGAAGCTAGGGGAGGAAAGAGTTGCGGCGTGTGTGACGTGTTGAGACAAGTCAAAATCAGGGTAGCGCTGGGTACCGTCCGTGCGAAAAGACCGTCTCCCTTGGAGTTGTGCTTTATAATATTTCGTTCGGTGGAAAGTTTACGGGTTTCCTTTCGTTTTCCCCTTAAAGAACGACATCCATCATGTGAAAGCGCCACCTGTGCTGACCCCTGAGTGTGCCCTTTTAGAACCGGACTGC